CTTCTGCACAAAGCCGTAAATTCTTTTCTTCATAAGCCAGACTATGCYAAGAGTTAAATTGCAACATGGAACACACATGGAGCTCCACTTCCAAGTCACGGGCTCAAGAACAACATTCTGAACAAGCTCAGTTAAAAAAACAGTTATAATGGTCTATGCCAGTAATATATTCCTCAGGAAAGGTACCACATGGAAAAATCTGAATTTTCTTCAAGTGCACAATGCAAGAGGTGGGCAGATGCTATCACGTGATTTAAAATCACATGATATCCAAAGATTGAGTTCTACTACAGGAGATTGGTGACATTGAACTCAGTCTCCTCTGACACTATCAGAAACTGAATRTTTAGGCCTAAAGAAAGTTATGCAAGAATTGAACCAACATATTCACTAAGTTTTAGGAGAGAATTACCAGCACTAGATCCAGTGTTTTTGGTTGCCCCAGAAGTCTGCAATCTCAAAGGGTAATTCAGGGAACAAAGGCTGCTCAACTGAGTAACTCTGACAAGTTATTAGGTTGAGAGGGAACASAAAAGTCTTGCTCTACTTGTTCTCTCAAGATACAAATCTATAACCAGAGCATGAAGACTGTAATCCTTCTTACTGTATTTGCACCATAACCATAGCCAAGAACTACATCAACAACAGGTAACTAATACAGATTTTATGAGCTAAGCGTAACTTAAAACAGACCTGCTAATAACTCTTTCTTAGGCCCTGTGAAAAGGCAACCCTTTTCTTCCTTCAGAATGATGAGGTTCAATCCAACCACACCATACAGAAGTACTCCACTCAATTAATCTATATCAATATCAAGATGAGTTTTAAAAGTGAAGAATATTCAAGGTTTTGAGCGGCAGCTGAAGTATGAGATGACATTTTACCGAAACACTGACAATTGGTTCTTTTCAGAAAGTCTTTTAATAAGCCCTATTAGTACCAGTCCAGTCTGTAACTCTACCAGGTATAGTGCCAAACAGTCTGCTTTCCAATGGGATGGACACGTTGCAGTTCAAAATACCAGCTATCTAATCTAGATAATGTCATCGCCAAAATTTCCAACTCTGCAACATGAAGTTCAACTTCTGCTTGATGGCATCTGCAACCTGCTGTATTGAGTCTAGCTGGAAAGAGCCAACAATAAGGTAACTGGATTGAATCTTTCTACAGAACTGTCCATCACTAATGGTATGGTGTTTACCAATTTAACAGCGTCATTCTGTTTTAATACCTCTCATTTTCATTCTCTCACAACCCTCACCATCAGTAAACACAGACCTGCTTTCAAGTCCATCCCTAGGGTGTATACAAAAAAATCTATTAATCTTATTTGATTTCATTTAAACCATTTACAGATCTATACTGCATTCTGTAGACACTGTGAATTACAAAATAACCTCAAAATTAAAAAAAAAACCCACCCCCGGAAACTAGCAAAAAAATGGAACTAGCAGCATTATCTAATTAGAATTTAATAACATCTAATCCTGATTATTGAAGTAGCATTACTTCTTTTTCACACAGGTGCAGTTATCTGCCTGTTCTGTGTTTTTCTCTTAGAAGTAAATGCCAGCTTGGGAAGTTCAGAAAACGTTATCTTCAGCAATGGGACACTTCATMCTCCACTAAAGGCAAACAGAGACAGCCAAGTTCTCAGCAGTATCTGGCTTTATTTGTATGGTCCTCTAGCATATCTTTGCAGTATTATTATACTCATCACTGAATAATGCTGCAGACTTAGGGCAAGATCATTTATTTTTTTCTCTTGCCATGGTTTAACTTTTTAAGGTTTACTTACTGTTTATCTTAAAGGTTACAAGACATTAAAAAAGACATGCAATGGTGTGGAAGAGGCACTTGCCTTAACTCCAAGCTTCAGTCTGCAGCACTGATCAGTGATGGGTGTGATGACACCAACAGAGTGCATGCTGAAGTATCACATAAAGGAAGCTGAAGTTCATGAACAAGAGGGAAAAATAAAACATTGTTAAACAGTGAAAAGATGGTAGGGTGAAAAATACTCAGGAGCATGGAGAAGCTAAAGAAAAACACACMCCTCAAACTTTTGCCTTTCTCAAAAATTCCTAGCTATATTTGGTTTTCACTATCCTGAAAATACACTCCAGTTCCTATAACATGAATATGAGGGTTTTTTAATCCATGAATAGAACTAGCCTTGGTCACTTAACAGTTCCTCCATTAATATGGCAGAGAATGCAGACAATTTAAGAAAGCATTATGTGCTATTTGTTTAAAGATAAAAACTCCAAATACCTACTGATATACTTTATTATCATTTACCTCACTGTTTCATTAAAAAATATACCAATAAAATATATACCTATGCTACACTGAAGATACTCTCTCCTTTCCTTGTGCCCCTGCAGTACTACATTTATTTGTAATTATTTCAATGTGGACTGATTGTCCTGCTCTAAAGGTCTTGCATTCTTTCTCACTCTACAAAGCAACAATGAGTCCCTCAAGCACTCCCAATGTAACAAATTCTGAATAATTAAAATCTTGAACATGACTTYCTATGTCTATTATTATTTTATAAAAAGGAGAGTATTTCTGACAAATAAAAATCCTTTATTAACTAAAGATATCGTGAACCTGGACAGCCACACTTTGAGAATGCCATTACATGTGCCATGCTGAGAGGGCACACAAGGTAACAACATTTATGATACCAAGGTTTGTTTCATAAACATTTAACTCTATCTTTGTTATCCACATGATTTCATCCAGTTCTTGACACAGTTACATAATTCTGACCTATATTGAGGCCTAAGCCAGCAGAGAGCAAGACAAGTAGGTAATTATTACTTTGACAGAACATCTACCCTTTCTCAATTCAGGATAAAGAACTCTCATTATTAAGTAGAATTTTACACCCACATATTAATCAATCGTGACAGAAATATCCCCAAGTCAAAACTAATGAGGTAAGATGTGTCCTTTTGAGGGCTCATTATATTAACACACACCAAAATCACAGCCCCCCTCCCCTTCACAATCTATAAAACTGTCACATCTAAACATCTGCCACTGTGGCAAACACCAATAAATGAACTATACGGCATCACATCTCCTCTCTTTGAGGAAAGGATGRTAGAGATGTCTCCCACTGTTTCACAATTGCTTTCAGAAATAAGAGCATGGGAATATGGCTCCCATGACTGAATTCATTTTCCATCACGCCCTACAGATTTCAATTGCTTAAAATCTTTCAATTTCTTAAAATCAAACTGAACAGAGTATTTGCAAAACCCAAATGTCACACACTGAATGCATCTCATTATTTTAACTCACAACTTTTATTTGATTAAAATAATCTTAAATTTACTTATCTTCATCATCATTTAGAGCTAGAAGCACTATCATACTCAGTTTGAAACTGAGTATTTATATTGTAGGGATGGGAACATGAAAAAATGCTTTTTGCCACTAAAATAGGTTCTATTACTTTTACATGCTGACAGTAAAGTACAGATTTCTCAAGTACAGAAATATTCAAATCATGTAAAGACTATAACATGTGTGTAGAAAAAAACACATGTGAGAGACAAAGAGCAAACCCAATTTAGATTGTAAAGATTTCTGGAATCACAAGTTTAAGTGACACCTTTGTCTAAGTGACATTCAAACCAAAAATGTACTCCAGACTTAGAACTAAGATTTTAAGTACCTGGAATAGCTTAATAACTAACAAGCAACACCACCACATCAGAAAAAACTGCAGGTAGAGACATCTCCATCAAGAAAACAGAACTTCTTTAGGTTTGTGTTAGAGCTGTAATCCCAACAATCAAGCTTGTCTCCATCCTAATTACAGTGACATCCTATAACTACCTACTATCCTACTAATAGGATATATACTATCTTCTTGTAGCTGTGCTATCATTATAAACAGATTCTGTAGCATTTACAGCACCACTGAACCACATAAACTCTGCCTAAATTGCTAATTATTCAACGAGTGGATTTTTTTTTAATTTGGTATAGCATAATTCTAAAGCTACTTTTTCTTTAGAAAGCAGTTTACAAGATTCATATGAAACCAGGCCACTGGTTTGTTTTTCCCTCCATTTTTCTTTAAATGGCAAATGACTTGATGCCACCGGGTGAGATTTCTCATTTTAGCACACAAAATTAATGCAAAATTATCATCTAAATATGAAAGAAAATATTAAATAAATGAATAAATAATCGATTACACTGTAACAGATTACTTCAGTGGAAGTAAGGAGGACATTTCAAATCACACTCCTCTGGATCTTTTTTCCACATTTCAAATTAATGCAATGCAGATGTGTATCAGTTTTTATCRGTGTATTAGTTCTTCCTTCCTTCTCTCTTGCAACATGCTTAATTTCCAGCCTCTAAAGACGTAATTTATGTATTTACTGAAACATATTACTTATTGAAACATATCGTCTGAAATTAACATTACAGCTGCTTACATGTTTAGAAATGCCTAATGAAATGACATCTTTAAGACAGAGAAAAGGAAAATCAAAGAGCATGTGTAGAACTTTACACTTTAAGGTGCTTATCAAATGACAATACCTAAAAGCAGTGCCTGACAYCTTCGTACTCTATGTTCTGTCAAATCCAAAATAAACCAAGAGCCACAAAGTGGAAAATGTAAWGTAACAAGAGGTGTATAGATACACAGAAAGTTTAAAACTACTGAAAAGCACGCAAGTTAATACATCCTCCTCTGTTAAATCCTCTTGATTATAATCTCTTTATCTTCTTCAGTGTACAAATACGTGTTTGCWTGCAGTATATTAATAATCTCTGTTTTACCCTGTGTGAAAACACTATCAGTTGCTGTACATTCATGAGAAAAACTTCCAAGCACAAGTAATGAAGCATGAAATAGGAAGTCACAGGTTAAAAATTCTTTCAAAACAGGCATGGTACTCTATAATACATATAGTTTTAAGAAGTTTTTCAAATAGACATAAGACAACCACAAAGACACTACTCACCATTTCATATGCTGTTACAATCTTTTTCAAGACCTCTGGAACAATYCCTTGGAGCTCCATAGTTGGATATTGATCGCTGAGATTCACWACTACCAAGGGTGTATTATCAGGCCCAACCAAGTGCATAGACACCGCCAAAATGCACTGCATAAGATTTGCTACAGGGGAGAGGCCACATAATTCTTTGAATGAAACTACTGCATTCTGCAAAAAGGAAAGAAAGAGTTTTCTTTACAGTTAAACACGAAATTTAAAGTCTTGCTCTTTCAGGATAAAATACTTTAGTGTTACACTTGAGCACAATGTTGAGCTACAATTACCACAGCTTTTCCCTGAAGAACTGGCAGTTTTTAAAACCAACCAATATTACACACATATTTTACAAAAAATGTTAAAAATTCAAATAATTCAGTACATACTACAGAAAAAAAACCCACCTATTTAGAACAAGTATATTTCCTCTCTATCACAACTAAAATGACCTATGGAAATAAGCATAAACTAAAACATATTGGTAATATATTTTGAAAAATTCTAAGACAATGCCACTAAGAGAAACTAAATATTAGATGCTGAATGTTCCAATTAAGCAAAGTGAAGTAGAAGGAGGAATCCAGCACATTTATAACTTTAAACATATCTGAACTATAGCCCAGACATGCTGTGGATCTGCTGGCTCCCATTTGGTGTGATTCACAGACCCAGCATTCCACTATCGATGTATTCCTATCAGASTCACACCTAAGTGAATTTTTAAGGTACTTTAAATTCAATACTGATTCTGTACCTTTCCCTAAGATTTCTTACAGTTATATTTTATAACCAGTATGGTAGAATATAAAAATGAAAGTTTAAACTTGAAGAAAATTTACAGCATTGGGAATACAATGTGACTCCAAGTAGCCACTGATATTTCCATGATGGGAATATTGTCAGCACTCTATTGAATTTAGGATTTTTGTACCAATTGGGAACTSATGATCTACACCATGTCTGGAGTTTGTGTTCCTGTAGGAAATAAAAACAAAAATATTATATATTTAAGTTACAAATGTGCTCAGTGCTTCTTTTTCTCATGTTGCACCCAGGCAGGGTATCTGGTACAGATTTTCATTTTAATCAGAACCTCTTTCCATCTTGGTGGCATGGTAAGGSTCATTTGTGGACATGTCTCCTAGAAAGACATAATGCCAATCTTAATGCAAACAGGAATCGAATGTGCAATATTTTTCKGTCCCTTTACCAGACAAAATACCAAAGCAGACTTCCAAATAYGTATGCACTGCATATACAAAATTATGAGAACACTAAATTGCATCCACCCAGTCACTTACAGTGTACTTCAGGTAAACGTTCARGAAACAGAAACTTCTTTTATTGACTGAACTACACCTTAATGACAATAATTACACAGCTGAAGAGACTGACATTGGGAAGTCCATTCAAGCAGATTTTGCTTAAGTACCACGGGTATGCCATTATGAAAAACCATTTCACAGAGAGGTTAAYGAGGACCCAGGGAATGTGTACATTCATTAATGACAGGCAGGACAGGACTAATATGTACTACTGGTGTAACTCTTGCCTTTGGACTTCCAACTCTATATCCAGAGCCTACTCCTCATACTGTTAAGTAACTTAAACATGCAACATTGCATCCAGTTTAATCACATTATACTTTTATCAGTGATTTATATGTACCAAGTTATGACATCAGCTWTTGCCATGGTAATGTAGAAACAAAAGAAACAAAAAAGGCTATTTCACTACAGATTTAGAGAAACCATTAAACTTGATGCTGCACATTTTCTTTYTCCTTCTTCTTCCATTTTGTATCAAAAACACCAAACTAATCAACTTTGCCCTTCATCATCTGGCTTTTGAGGATATTCTTTGCATATCATAAAAATCATTACAATTTATAATACAAAATTTCAGTAATAAAGAAATTAAACAAATGTCACATTCCATGACATCAATTGATACTTATGTTAATTGAGTGGTTTATTTGCTTTTATTAGCTATAAAAACTTAGTTACACAGAGTTTAAATTGTGCACGTTATATAATCTGTTAGTAGAGTTAAGAAAAACTAATCTTCTCTCATGAGCCTAAAAYATCTTCTTGATAKCATTTTGAGAGATAATGGTAAATTCCATTGATAGCACATCTTTCAAACTGACATATTARAGTAATAAAATACCTTTTAATATCTCATGTTCAAAGAAACCCCACTGTAGAATCTGTTTTCAATTGTATCATTATACTGTGCATAATGCAGCTCGCACATTAAAGAGTTTAACGTAGGTGCACAAAATTCTGTGTTTTCACTGCTTCCTCAACTCAGCTGTTCCCTGAAAAGTATCTTAAAATACAKTATTCTTTATATGATAGAATTCTTCTTCAGTAGGTAATCTACAGGTAAAGTTCACTTTACATGCAGCCTGTAACTTGAAACATTTATGAGTCAAAGTATYATCCCTGCATTTTTTTAATTATCTTTTAAAAGAGCAAATTTATATACCAAGTGGAACAGAAGAGACGCATAATGATGTATTAATTTCTTCTTTAATATAAAATTAGCTTTAAAATTGTATTATTATTATTAGAATCTCTTTAATATAAAATTATTAATGAAGGAAATTTATATGCACTGATTTGCCTTTAAAATCCAGAATCAGGTCTCAGACATTTCCTTTAATCTGTTTCCCCTTAACACTATATAGCAGCAAGACGATTTAATRGGTCACTCCATGTGAAATGACGATACCTAATTTTGTTGATCACTGCTAGTATACCATCAGAAGTTCATAAATAGTTAAAAGTTTTATTAATGGAACACAACTTTGTAAGTCAATTTTAAGCAATTTCTAAAAGGGGTTATTCAGCTGCAATCTCCAAATACCACAATTTCTGAARTGAGATCTCTTGGCTTCCACAAAACCAAGCACCTCAGCCTGCACTCTTCCCCTAAATTCAATGTGTTTACTAATATGATGTTTAAAGTATGACAACTTTTTCTAGAAGATGCCTTCCAACACCTTAGTACCAATTCCACGTATTTCTAACATAACTAAGAACTGTGGAAAGCAGACAGAACTTTCTGCAAGTACTGCCTTCTATTTGGGACTTTAAAAACACTGACTTTGGTTAGTGTATTTCTATTTGAAGTGTCCTTCAAAGACATAGGATGAGTCAATAGGATTGACTTCTAACACTGGGGTCAGATTTCCAGTTCTCATTCATCAAAATACACATGTGCATTTAAGGTTACATCAATAACAGCTGATGCTCTGACATGATCCATTCTTAATGCTGCTCAGAATTAGACTCAAACAGTTCACTTTACAAGACTCTTAAAAAAGCCCATATTCCATACTCATCATAACACAAAGGTACATAAATGAACCAATAAATTGATTATAAAACTGTACCTGCATATTTTCTCTCAAATCCGTAGCATCCCGAATAGGTTGGAGGGCATTCTTGAATACTTCATCTATTGTTTTAATCCATAATGTTCTCATAGAAGCATATTCCCTTGATTTCTTGCCCTTCCTCACAGAGAGGCCCCGCTTATGAGGTTTCCCACCACCCCTTCGATTAGTAATGGCCACATGCACAAACAAGGAAGCATGAGTTAAACTTTCACCAGTCAAGGACTGCAGAGGAACGTGCCGATAACCAGTCTGGAGACACTCAAAGGGAATAGTGTACTGCCCGATAAACTCGTCCCCAATGTAATCGTCATCCAGCACTACAAAACGCACCATAGCTAGCTCTGGTAAATTTATTTGAAATTCAAAGCTTTCATCGAAAATGGGATTATCCCCGTTCTGATGCATAGTTTTCGTCCTTTGCTCAGCACAGTCAGCAGGGATTCCATGTATTTCAACATAGACATAAGGATCCACAACATCACCTTTGGCACCTGATCCTTTGGGTTTGGGGAAGTTTTGCCCACTAATGATTTTAATGTGAAGCAGCTGAGGCGAAACTCCAGGCACGGTGTCTTTCGTATTAGCACTAAAGAAGGAAACTTCTTCTCTCATGATGGCAGGACGAAGGACGTAGCCACAGTTTCCATTTTGTCGAAACCAACCRATGTTAAGGTCCATCATTAAGCCRGGCGTTTGAAAGTTCATTGCCACTATCTGACAACCACATTTCCAAAAGTCCTGGGGATTCATATTACTAGAGTCAATCCTCATAGGACTGGGGAAAACCCTCGCGAGAAAGCGTTTGTTATAATTTACAAAGTCTCCTGGGTTTTCGTTGGCATATTTGCTAGCAAGCACTTCGTTAAAAGAGCACACTTCCCAGTACTTCTGGAGCTGAAAGGAAACTTGAAACTCTTTGAACTGAACTGATTTACATATGCTTACCAGCTCAGAGAGATCTTTGCAGAGCTGGAATCGTTTCCCTGTCATTGAGTTTTGCTGTTCTACCCCCTCTTTTGCCACTCGCTGTGACATTTCTGCTCCTTCATCTTCATCTGTGACATCGCCCTCTAGTCCAGAACAATTAGCAGAAAGCTTCTTTGCTTTAATYAGTATTTTCCCTTTAAGTGATTCCGGTGATGGAAGATAAGACTCTTCAATGTTTGGAGACTGTGTGTGTAGTTTGTCCCCCAAAATTTTCTTCATGTGTTGTACCATCACTTTCTGCTGCTTAATAGAACAATGATTTTCTAAACACAAAATGAGAGGGTATTCTGAAGCAAAAAAGGCATACTTGTTAATAATGTCAATCACACTACGGAAGACAATCTGAGATGTCATTGTRTGTCCTGTGTAAATCACAGGTTCATTATCCGGGCCATCCCACACATCGAGTTCAACACTTCGACAACCCATTTTTAGAGCACGAATGTAACCTGTGATRTCAGAAGGCCCKCGAAACTGATCCTCTATCAAGTACGTGTTATGAGATGAATTTATAAAATAATGAGATAAAGGTTGTTTCATATCTTGACAAACTTTTTTATGTTCTGGATCAAATATGTGGCAGTCTGGTGAAGTAAGGTAATTYGTAAACCCGTCTATAGAAAGACAACCCTTTTCCTGGCCCTCTTTGGCTGGCTCATATTTCTGAATAATTTCAAGGCTTATTTCTTCCGTGACCTGTGCCATACCCTGCTCTGCTTCCAAAAACATCATGAGGTCCTTGGTATCTAGAAATTCTTTATTGCTTGAAAACTGAACTAACAGGAAATAGATTTCAGGTCTGGTACAAAGCTCATGAAAAACTTCAATAAATTCTTCTTTCGTTACTTCAGTACCAGCTTTTTCCCTGGATCTATGTAACTCCTTGAATTTTAATTCAATTTTATTCGTTTTTAAACCAGGGCTTAAGTCTTTTATAAATTGTACAGCACTACACAGGGGTATATGTCCCAAATTATCTACATCAGATTCACTGAACATTTGTGAAAGCCACGAAGTCCGCATATTATCTTGAGTACTTCCTAGCATATCTAGAGTATGTTTCCCGTAAGAAATCAGGTATCTTAAGCCAGTAACCCAAATATTTGCAACGTCTGCTGARTTAGCAACCAGATCCAGCGACTCATAATTTTCTCCATATATAATGGAAAAAGCACAGTCTTCTGAGATCTGGTCATATATTCCATTGCTGCGAAAAATATCTGTATTTTTTCCCGTTCTTACTTCTTTGATCGATTTAATATCAATCTTCGCTTTTTCAGAATCCTTTTTGGAAGGTTCCCAGCGCAGGGACTGCATATCGGCATCCAGAAGGAAGTACCGGTGGTACACCCTGGAGTTGGAGCGGATCTTCTTGAGCTCAGAGCCTTCCACCATGGCRTTGATGCAGTCGCTTGCACTGCTGATCTTCTTCTCCGTCGGCATGCTGCTGAACGACACGGTCTTCTTCCTTTCTCGCTTCTGTTTCGTACCATCCTAGCAAACAAGGAGGGGAGGGGGAGAAAAAAAGCAATGTATCAGTATGATTTTGCTCAACATTGAAATAGGATTCAACCTAAAGCTGGAAGTTCATCAAGCAGTTCAATAATGTCTGTGTGATGACCAGTAAGAATTTCTATCATAATGAAAATACTCATATTGGCTTAATATTTGCTCTTGCCTCTGTAAGTAATCTTCCAGAGCAATTTTTCAGTACTTTTGACCAGCACAAAATTAACAAAACAAGTTTGCTAATGAAATAATAATGCTGTACCGTTGCATATATGTATATGCATTTTATRAGTAATATTCTACTTATAGAGACAACAGGTCCTAGAATCAAGACAATAGGAGRCAAGCTTTTCTCTGAGTCCTTACATACTCCTACAGATACTTGCAGAACAGAATATATTGCATTTATATACTGTATATACTGTATATATTGTGTACTTATCAGTACAGAATATAATGCTTTAATACTATGCTGACAGGGCCCTTATGAACATCAGAGAAATATTAATACACAATTAACTACATAAAATCCACAGGACATGGTCCAACTACATAAAATCCATAGGATGTAGCCCTAATCTAAGAATACAAGACATTAACAGTGCTTCTTATTTATGCTCAGGTCCTTCACCAGTGCACCCACCCGTGCTCCCTCCACACACTGCCCACAGCACTCACACATCCCTCCCCTGTCGCAGGAAAATACCCATGACAGTCTAAAGGAGCTGCACTGGAACACAAGGGACTGGATTCACTGCAAGTTCTGAGTTTCAGAAAATACTCAGTGACTCAGAAGGGAACTTCTGAGAGGATTTAAATTTAGCTSTTTCCAAAGAACCTTCATGTCACTAAAAAGAATTTGAATTGAAGACCTGCTCAGGAAGGGAAGCACCTTTGCTCTTAAAGCAAATGTGATTCACCATTGCTCTTAAAGCAATGAGAGAACCTGGAGGTCTTACTTTACTAGAGGAAGCTTATAAGGATATATAAGCACTAAAAGAGTGGGGAAAAGGTCATTTAGCTACCTCCATTGTACCTATTTCTGTGAATTAAAGTAAGTGCAAATAAATCACCAACACATGACTTAAGTACAATCGATTCCTTAAGAAGTGAATTTAAGAATCTTGTGTGCTTTCAYTATCTGCATTTTCTAAGACTGAAAAATGCTGGGGATTTTTCCTGAAAGCAACGTGTCTTGATGAGCTAACTTTTAGTCTAAAATAACACTTGCATTAAAAAATATTTTTATATTAGATACCCCAATTAGAAGACTTCTTCTTATAAACCAGCAGAGCTCAAAAAAAATATTTTTCTAGCTTTATAAAAAGAAAAGAATGTTGGTATTCACTCTAAAAGTTTTCCATTTGAAATATGTTCTAGTGCAAATCAGCATTGCTTATATGGCAGAAAGGAAAGTGAAAGAAAATTTTTAACGATTACTATGCTGAACAGATGTTCAAATAAAATCCATCCATTACAAATGCATTTCCAGTTCAGGGCACATGTGCTGTATGTTCAATTTYATTAAATTAAAAATGCAGAGTCCTGGTGTTGTAATTTAATTTAAAAGCATCTGAAAAGTCTTTCATTGAAAACAATGATTAGTAAAGTGAGCAGACTTAATATTTGCTGTTCCGTGTTTGAGAAAATTAATCAACCATACAATTCTTGCACCTTTAATGACAGCAGAATTTGCTTTATTCAAGTTCTCAAGAGAGCAATAAAAGTGAATAACCCTGCAGAGCACTGTTTTATTTCTAACTGCAGACCAAACACCTGCAATGGATACTGCACAGGGTTGATTCTCAGAATCTCATTACAGGTAGTCATGGTAGTCATGAGGATTGTTTTCAAACAACAGAAAATTTCCTTAATTTATTAAAAAAAATCATATGTGATTTTTGTTTACAAAGGTTTTTGTYCTGTTTTAGGTCTGGCTTGTCTGTCTACCTATTTATTTCTCTTAATCTGAAATGGTGGCACAGAACAGCCCCAATAAATGAGCAGTGATATTCCYGCCTGGTACTTCAGGGCTTGGAATTAAGCATTTTGAAACTCCTTAATGCTCCAGATTTCTCAGTCACAGACCTGGGAGTGGGGAACATTTCTCAAACTGCTGAGTGAGAGACAGCTGACAGACAACCTCCTGACACCAGAACCATCAAGCCCTGGGAAGTATTACCTTGCCTGACCACAATCAGAAGAAAAGTCTACACCCTTCTCTATGATCAGGACTGTATCTGATCCAAGACACTGAACTGAGAAGCAAAAAAAAAAATCTTCCATTTCTTGATGCCATCTGATGCAAACAAGTTCATCTCAAGGCAGCCCCATTCCCAGCTCTAGTTACTGAAAGCCTAAATTGGAGTTCATGCATGTGGATCAGAGGARTAATTCAATATACCACCTGCAAGATTATTTTGCTTGTCTGCCCGCTGAATTCAAAGCCAGTTYACCAGCACTCTTCTTTTTTTGCAGGGTAAAGCAATCTAAACACTCAGATTATTTAGATAAAGCCAGCACCACAGKCTGAATGCCTGTGAAAACATTCTGAGCTCCAGAATACCCTTCAGAAGTTTTTGCTTCTCCAGAGATCAATAATCCTGAGCTACCAGATTGCCTGTGCAAGTCCCCATCCTGACAGAGACATGATAGTCATGATYAATCTGCATAAACAAAATAACTTCAAGTATTTCAACAAAGATACTGGTGAAAAGTACACACCTGTCTGAATTACCCACCTATCTGGAAAGACACAGAGAAGAAACTCTCGCTCATAAGCTGAGAATCAGTTGCATAGAGCATACACAAACTGTGCAAAACATGTTTGTGAGCCTTGGCAATATAATTTGGCATGGAGGGAGCAGACAGATCTGTTCTGCTATAAGAGGAGGATTTCCCCCTGAAGGTGARGTGGCATTTGTGAGCTGGGTCAAGTCTCTCATGGCCTTAGGTCTACCTTGAACCAAAATGACTGGCACATCAGAAAACTCTATGTAMAAACTGAAAACTGGATCTGAATGAGCACAAGAGCAACTTCTTGGCATTCATGAGACTTACAGGGCTCTTGCTGTTCAACATGCTCAAAGTGACACTGACTCCACAGCGCAGATGCATAATTCAGTCCAAGGCAGCAGCTACAATTTTTGCACTGAAACWACTTCCAGTCATTCTAGGATCTGCCACACAACGAAGACCAGGTCAATCTTCCATTTGTAACATAYCCTGCCATTACTGCAGGATTTCCCTTAAAGATTGAGCTTCATAAGACTTAATCACTGAAACCAGAACGACCACCTCATCAATATATTTCCCAACGCTATTCATGCCCCAACCAAGGTCACCTGCAACATGTTTTGAGGAACAGACCAGACCACAGATAAAACTGCTTTGAAACATTGCTCATAACCGCTACAAACGACTACACAAAAAGTTTAATTTATCCAGGAGTTCCTAGCAACAGAAAGCAAAGCATCTAGCAGTTCAAATAACAGAAACAATTCCAGCTGTCATCCATGGCACTTAAGAGACAGAGACAGCTGGAGAAAATGGATTAAAGGCACAAGGGGGGAAGAGTACATCCATGGTAACTTTTTTTTATTCCTCTCAAGGTACCAACAAAGAAATAGCTCTGTGACTAAGACAGCACTACCTACAAAATAGAATTCTGGAGACAACRGAGAATCTTGAATCAGACAGTGAGGGAGATGCACATCATTCCTGAACTGCAAAGCTTTTAATTTATGCAATTTTATGACAAAATTACTCAAAATGCAGTTCCAATAACCACTGGCAGTGACAGGGACAGCAGTAGAGTTTAAACAGAGATTTGATAATGTAACAGATCAGGATGATACAGGAAACAGTAAATAGTGTAAGGTTTGTAAACAACTCCTAAAGGGAAGGAAGCAGAGAGCRAACTTTATGACCTGTAAATGCCCAAATGAATCATTCCCCAGAAGCAGTACTTAAAAAATATTCAAACACCAAGTTGCCAAGATTTTTAGGTACCGCTTGATCCAGTGGAATTAAGAACACTTATATCCTAAGGCAGGGCCACTTTCATCAAACTGGAAAGTGTAGGGCTGCAGGCAGAGCTGTGCAGGACACTCCTTCCACCTGCCAGTGCAGAATGGTCCTCACACTGGCCCATGAAAACTCTGGAGATGGGTGCCTGCCATCCTCCCTCTGCATGACTAAAACCACCTGCAGGTCTGAGGGGGCAGCTCCTGGACTGGAAAATCCAGGCCTCCATCTKCATTTAGCCTCCTAGAGCACTCTTTGTAGAACAGAGCACTTTAAAAAGAAAAGACAACGGTAACGAAAGGAAGTGGCACAATGACAGATTTCTAGAGTGCTCATCTGGGAAGTGAAAGTCCCTGATGTCATAAAACATAAACATTGCACTTGGTGACCCTGAATGCAAGATTTAGTCCACATCAGGGACCTGAACASTGAATTCTGTCCTTTCAGTATGCAACTCCCCAGGTGACAGCTCCTGCTGCTACTTGTTTATGCTCTAACCATAAAGGATTTCCATTCATTTTTATACACCAGAGGTTCCCCAAAGCGTGGAAGGCGGCTCCATCCAGGTGTTGAGAGCACTCCCAGACACCCAGGCACAGGGAGCAAGATCTAGCAAGGTCTGTACCTGGGTGTAGTAATAAGACTGCAATCGTACAGCATCTCAAGACTTTCAAATACATAGCTGGGATTTTTTTCTCTTTGCATATAAGTTGTGAATTAATTGGCATGCTTGTGAATCTGAAGGCCAGGGGTTTGCCAATACTCTGAGCAATTACAGGTGAGTAGGTGAGAAGAAAGCCAAGCCTAAGTTCGGTAATTTTTTTTTCAAATTACAGAATTATTTCATGTCATATAATGTGAAAGCTACCACATGTTTTAKAAGAAATTGAACGTATATCAGTAGCCAACAGTTTCAGTAAATTCATTACTTTATGATGAGAACAGGCAGCCTGATGATC